TATGGAGTCAGCAGTAATTTTTTTCTCTATTAGGAAAATGCAAAGACTACAAATATGGGGACAACTTGTTGATTAGTCATTGCAGGGAAAACAAAAACCCACGTCTGGAATTATTCTGTCCCATCCCCATTTTTCTTAATCTGTTGTTCTTGATTTGTGAAATAAGCTTTAAACAGAGAAAATATGAGAGACAAGTAAAATTGGATAAAAATTGGACTAAACCAAGCATCCAAACAGGACTAACATTTTATACAATTGTATAGCATTTCATAAATAATTATTCTTTAAAGAAAAAAAATGGAATGAGTTACAGGTGGGTTTTATATATAGACTCACTGTTAAGAGCCTTGTTCAGAATTCCATCCTCTGCTTTGGGGCAGTCTTTGGTTTCCGTGTATTTAGAATGGAGACTGCTCTAGACACCTTATCAATACTCCTCTCTGCTGTGTTATCTTTCAACTTGGGGGATTTTAATGAATATTTTCCTAGTTTTTTTTAAAAAAAACCTTTTTCAATCTAGCTTTATTTATTATGCTTTATAAGCTCATAAGGACCAACCAATCATTTTAATAGAATTGCATTATGCAACTAAAGCTTTATAGGCACATTTTCAGAATGATACATAATTCCATTTCCATCAACAACTATCCTCCTTCTTCTTAGTAGGTTACTTTCAATTTCCATTCTCCAACAAAGTGGAAGGTCTTAAAGATCTTTCAATTTGTCATCATGAACTTTGAATGGTCCTCACTTTGAAGTTGGCATGAATACTATGGTATACCATAAAATACATTTCAGTTTAGGGGAGATATTCCATCAATTGTACATCAATGAGAATTTGAGTTATTATGGATTTGCCACAGAAATATCTGAAGAATACAAATACAAGAGACAGGGTTTCCTAGCAAATCAAAAGTGCTTTATTTTATAAAGCCTTACTCATATCTAGAGTATATTTTTTTAGAGATAGATAATACAATATGAAACTTCCACACCTCTCCAAACAGTTTAACAGATAATGAATGGCGAAAACAATTACAAACAGAAAAGGGTGCTAAACTTATTTGATTAAAACACATATGATAATTGGTCATAATGAAATTGTTACTCTTAAATGTAACATAGTCTCCAGAAATATTCTTGTAGTCTCATTAAACTTAGAAGCCACTGTGTATTGTAAGAAATATAACATTCATATGATATTGAGATCAGGAGTTTTCCATATGATATTGAGATCAGGAGAGAAGGAATAAAAACTGAAGCCAGTTATCAACTTAATACAGAAAAATACAGAGTTGTATACATACATTACAGTACTATTAACATACAGTACTATTAACATCACCAAGAGGGTCACATAGTGGTACAATTTAGAATCACACTGGATTCTAGAAGGAGACTAAATGGGCATCCAGAAACAGGCATACTGAGATCATAAGAAAAATCTAGGTGTGCCTAATGTACAGAGTAGTGTTCCTAGCATATTCTGTTATCCAAGTATATCTCACTCTTGCATTCTAATAATTGAGAGACATTGAATAAATGTTAAAAATAATAATAAACCTGGCTCACATATTTTCACTGCTGCTAAAAGAAGGTATCCTAGGATCTATCATTCGATTAGATCTACTGTAGAGCATATCACTCAAGTTTTAAATTTTAGATTCCTTTTCAGAATTATTAAACTTAAAAAAATATGGAATCAAGTCAGAATGATATATTCCCTATAAATGACCTACCTGGCAAAATAAAAAATTGTCAATTATGTAATTAATAATATACATATCAACATAGGGATTCTCACTGTGGTTGAACATTAATTAACAAAATGTTTTAAAAGAACTGAGTTAAGAGTCTAAAGAGATTATGAACTCGAAATCCAGGAACCTTACTTGAATCTAAATATTAAAGAGTGGTGAGATTTGCAATGAGCTGTTTGATAGTAGTGGTATATTAAAAACTGCTAGCTTAGGTTTCTATATAATGTATGTTTACTACATCCAAAATTATTCTCTTTAATTGAACAAACTGTGAACAAGAACTCATCTTTGTGAAAAGTCACCATGTGACAATTTGTAAATAATAGCATGTGAAACCAACCTAATTCACAATAAACAGGCCTATAAGACAAATGGAAATAAATAGCAGACAATATTACCAATGGAACTGGTTGCTCTATCATGGATAGACACGGTTCTCAATAAATCAGAATGTAGAAGCTTGAATTTAAACATATTTTTCCATATTGTATTCAGAATAAGAAAAGTGACTGCAATTTATTGACCCATTAGACATCTCTAACATAATTGAAGGTTGCACTTAAATTTAGATGATTATTGCCAGTGTCAGTTCCAAGATTAGAGCTTAAATTGCAGTGGCCAGCATGGGATGGGGTAATTTATTGATTCAATCCACCCAAATATTAAGCCATAAAATATACTTTACAAAAAGCAAAGGTGGGTTCATAAAATCAAACAATCACATTATGTCTTAGCACAATGTATAAACCAAGTTTTTGCAATCAGACAAAGGAATATTAAAGCTATCTACTAGAAGTCTGCTTAGATCCAAAGAAATTATTCTAACCATGTTGTAGCACAAACATACTACCTGTGTGCAGCTCTTTAATACAGCCATGCATTTTCCTGGGATCAAATGGCAGATACAGAATGGTGCTATCTTCATTCTTCCAAGTACTTTTGCTAAGGATTTTCAAATTATGGAGAACATATTGTCCATTCTATCTACAGCTAATTATTGTTTAAAGAACATCAAGACTTATTCAAAAAGAAATAAACACTGGGAATTGCAGCAAAAATAATTGAAAATTACCGTATATGCTAGCGTATAAGACGACTTCTGGAAGTGCTAAACTCGGCGCCAAAGACGGGGGTCGTCTTATACACCGGAAATACTGGTAGTTTCCGGCGTATAAGATGTTCTAGGAATGCGGCTCGGCGACAAAGACAGGGGTCGTCTTATACGCCGGGTCGCCTAATACGCCGGCATATACAGTAAATAGGGACTTGCAGTTATGACAGATGAAGTTTAAGACAAAGAAGCTGGAACAGAAGAATACAGGTGAGAGTAGAAAAACTGTCACTAGTAATAGGCACTTAGCACACTGAGTTATTTTGAGTGTCTAGTTAATAGTATCTCCAAAGCAGTGCTATTGCAATTTGCAACCATGAGGTATTCAAGAGGACCTAATCTGAAACATTTTCAGACTAGGTCCCCTGACAGTTCATTTGATGTTTTGAGGATGAAGACTTGATTAAACAAGAAACTGGGTTGAAAATTAAATGAAATAGTACTCAATTAGCACAACAAAGGATTAATAATTTTGGAATTCACCTGATAGACGATCTATAGCAGTGGTGGCGAACCTATGGCACACATGCCAGAGGTGGCTCTTGGAGACCTCTCTGTGGGCACATGTGCCATTGCCCCAGCCTTGCCTCCTCCTGTGACCCCCCTCACCAGCAGCCCCCCTGGAGGAGAGTCGCCCCCGAGTGTGGCCCATACAGAGCAGCGCAGCCAAGGACATGGCAGCCAGGCAGCGTAGACAAGACTCTGCCCTCATATCCCATTGCGCACAGTTGATGCTGCGGGGTGCAGGCAGAAGGCATGGCCGCAATGGTGCTGCTGGCCTACTTGGGAGATCTGCGGCGGGCCCTGGAAGTGGTGAGTAGCCATGCGGGCAGGCAGGGTGGGGGTGGAGCATGGGGTGGAGAGGGGACAGGGCCACTTTTGGAGCACTCGGTCTCTAAAAGGTTCGCCCTCACTGACTTATAGTATTAAACCATTAATTGGTTCGATCATGCCTGAACATCTGCCAGAAATCATTAGGAAAATAGAGCTCAATCAAGGGCAATAGGATTCCTGGAATAGGTTAACCAAACTGAGCAGTACAAAAGGAAAAAAAGCTATATTTCTTTGTGATAACAATAGCACAGAAGATAAGAATTCCATTATAGATAGCAGTTTGAGTAAAACACACAACTGAAACTTGGAAGAAATTAGAAAAAGAAGGGTTAAATGCCCTGGGTATAAAATGACAAAGCAATATATTATATCAATATACCCAAATGTTAAAAAAAAGAGAGAAAGAGATTGTGGCAAAAGCTAAACTATATGCTCCCAAGAAACAATGTGACCGGTGGCTATCAGCTTGTAGGAACTATTCAAAACGCCAGACATTCAAAGAGGAGTAATAACCATATTTATAGGTTATATGTTTTTTTAAAAGTTTTGTTGCTTATGAAGGGCATTGTTTATCTTATTGATAAAAGTAGATATCCAACTACAGAGCTGTGGATAAGTATCATAATTAACTATTCAGGTAGAAATTGGCCTGGAGAAATGCTGAGTGTATAATAAATGAAACAGAATGAAGATTCTTTTTTCTAGGGGAATGATGTTTCACAGAACCTATCCTGCTTATTTAAAAATATATCAGAAAAATAATCAATGGGGAAAAAATGAAGAATGAGAGACATACCATGTTTGTTATGGAGAGAAATAAGAAACAAAATGATGGTAACATTTGAAATTGAGAATTCCCATATTCTCCAAGAGCTGCATCACATTTAAAGCGGCATGTGAGGAGCTGGACTCCTAATATGTGTGGAGTTAGGATCCAGTTGGGCATTTAGAATTTTTAAAGGATGAAATGGGTACCGTGCAGATCGAAACCTTGAAACTGCAAATTTGGACAAAAAATGCAATAAAATAAAATGATCCAATACTTTTGGCTCCACGTTTTGCAAATTGACCTTAAGGAAATGTGCAGATTTTATTTTCATATATTAATTTAAGAGGGAATACAAAAAGGAACTAGTAGTGGGGACATTTGTCATTCTAGAGAATTACATCTATCAATTTTAATCTATACCGAAGCACAAGGTACAGTAGATAAGCCCATAATATCAAGGAGTCTTATCTGATGAGCCTAGAATTGTATAGAATAACATATGTGAGGAAATACAATCTGTAATGCAATAAAAATTAGTTAATTTATTAATATTCCTGAACAGTCACCCATAGTAGTAGCATTTATGGTGATTGTCCACTCAATTACATTACATATCCAATTAACCAGTAGAAATTCAGGTAAGAAAAGAGGTACCACTTCATTTAGTGACCATATATCAACTGGGACATAGCTGGTCTATAAAACAGCAACAATATCTTCTCTGTGGAAATTTAGAGTCCATTTATAAAGAATAAAAATTTCAAAGGCATGAATGCTATAAAAACAAATTGGAGCCCAAGCAATATGTTCAAAGGAATTTCTAATTATTTAGGAATAATATATGTATACACTCTATCCCTTGTTTTGAATCAATTATTAATCATTGTTCATTTTATTCTAACTCAAAACTTTTGCCATATTACCTAAAACTAAAAGATACAATTTTGAGCATCATGTGCATGAATGGATTATTAAAACCTAAAGCAGTACTTATATTCTGAAACACCAAATGAAACTAAAATTACTAAGAAAATGCATACACTATTCAGTTGTGCCACAGCTGACATATATTAAAAATATTGAAATCAGCAGCAGCATTGGGCAACAAAAATCAACCAGTTGTTGACATATACCAAAGGAAAAAAACAATATAGCTGATGTGAAACAAATGTAAACTATGCCTCTTTCCTCATGCAACCACTGATGGTTTATATGGCTTTTTGGGAAATATCCCAAGCAGCGAGATGAGACAGCAACATTTTTGTTGCTATTTTAAAGAAAAAAAATTGCTTTATGCCCAATATAACATGAATCTTGGAACAGCTGAATGTTGTCTACATTGGCAGATCCCAGTGATCTTCAGAGGATCAGCCAGGAATCTCTTCCACTGTCTTTACAGATTCTAGCAAGATAATCCAACACTTTTAACATGTATATTATGTGCATTAATACTAGGTTCCCTCCCAGTTTTAATTAGCTCCTTATTTAATAAATTCCCATTGGATGGTCTTGAAGGCATATGTAATTTGCTTTTGCAGGGACACACAAACATGCATCTTGCTTTGAAATGTCCTCAACTCTTTTCTGGGCCAAATACGAGGTATTAGGAGGAAGAATAGGATTAGTTATTTTTTTAAAAAAATGTCAATTTTTGAAGTATTATTATGCGGGGGGGGGGGGGAGAAAACCTGCTGAGAAATATTTTAAAAAGGTAATAAGACTTTTTTAAAAAATAACTCACACTTATTAACAGAGATGATATTGCTCTTGACTACATAAGATTGCAAGACCATTTGTTATTTTATTAGAATTTTCTAGTTAACTTTACATGTATTCAATTTGTAGCTGAACTGTCATTATATTAATGGAGAAGGCAATCCAGCGCTCCAGGAATAAAATTATAAATTGCAGGGTGTGATTTCTTTTTAAAAACTGCCTATAAATGTCTACTTAAACAAAGAATTTTAAAAGGCACATTGTTTTGCATACAGAATATAATTTTAAGCATCTCTAATTCTGTCCTTTTCAAAACCTCCAAAAATAAAAACCAGCAGATTGTAGGGAACAGCAGAGTTTTAGGTAATTTTTTAAACAATATAATTTAGAGAAACATAAAGCTAAATTAATATAATTAAAATATCATTTAAAATACTTCAAAACAATCTGTCACTGATGTAAAAAAGATTCTATCACAAGGGTGAATAAAATATCTCCTCTGATACATTACTGCATGTTACAATTCAAGAAATTACTTTATCTGTACTGCAAAATAACTTTACATGTAAACTTCAGATTCTCAAACAGACTCAAGAGCATCCCTGTTTTCCTTTTAATGTAAACAATAAAATATAGGGCTTAGGAAAGAATATTTTAATAAAATATTTTAAAAACAGCACATTTAATGTCTTCTTTTGATCTTTTACAGATGAGCAAACCTTTCTACATCTTTGTTCATATGGGGAAAATGCCATTATTGCCCCTAACAATTCATTTTTCTAAAAAGCATATTTGATTTTCTTTATAGTATACTGTTTCTATATGATAAATATACAATGGAAAATCTTCATGTTACAAGACAGTTAAACAGTCTGTAATTCTCCCACCCTGATCCTCAAAATGAGTTTTCCCTTGGCAAATACACAGAATGATTATGGCATCAGAATTTAATAAAACAAGAGCCAAACTTCTGCATTGCTGGAAGACTCTTTCCTGTTGCAGTGGGCTTACTTAGTAATATAGTTTTTAAAAAATTGCCAAGAGGAAAAGCTTCCAGCAAATGGGTATTATTCTTAAGGAGTGCAAACATGCAGGGTTGTTAAGTGTAACATTCACAATAAGATCAGAGTCATAATTATCACCAATATTATCTTGCATCTTTCAGTTCAAATTTTAAACTGATCCACAGTTTACAGCTTTGATTCCAATATTGTAGGTTTCAACATGCACATAGATTTTTCTTCCCTTCCCACAATATCTTTTTTCCATTCATTCCATTTCAGCTAATATCCACAGAGAGGTGTTGTTGCAATGCACATTGAGTAGGAGCTGATCTATTTTAATTATTATTAGTTTATATCCATTTTTGCACACTCATATACACATACAATCTCTCTCACACACATACATATCAGAAATAGCTAGAACTATGCTGGGCATAATCAGGCAGCTGTGAAAGCAAATGTATTTCACCCCAGTCAGTCATCTTTGCCAGCAGATGTAAATGGGTGGGGTGGGGGTGGGGGCTGCCTTCTGCAAGAGAGAACTTGAGTTTCTTTTAAAAGAAGCTTTCTTAAAGACCCCATACACACTTGTAGCAATTTGCTGTTTCTTCAGACCTCACACTGTCCAAAAGAGCATTTAGGTTACGTTAAGATGTTGGCAATAAAGTCCAAGAATCGTTTTGAATACTGTTCAGGATTAACTGTTGAAATCTCTGCACCAGCCTGTAAAACCAGAAGATATGATGAGACACAAATTAAATTTAAGGTGGCAGAAAGTTTAGGGCATTTTACACCTGTATTTTCCAATCTGGTGGTGTTAAATTATGCTCAGCTATTCTAATTCACAACCTAGCACAGGAAAAGATTGTCCAAGTAGGCTCCAAGATCTATCCAATTTTATTTTTCAGAGTCTTTATTTTTTTTTTTAAAAAAAAAAAAATAGCATGCACTTCAAACATACTCTTTATTTCAAAGAATGCTTTGAATTCCATTAACCTTAAGACATTCATTGAAAATAAAAACAATAAGGAATAGCAGCCATAGGAAGGCTGCTCATCCAGGGGAGAGGGAGGGGAGGAGGGGAGGGGGGTTAAGGAAAAGGAGAGGAGAGGAGATGAAAGGAGAAGACTGAGGTAGCACCTTCTCAGATATTCTTATCAGATAAAATACCAGAGAAACTGAAGGAAGCAAACATTCATTCAAGGCCCATCTATTCCAATATTTTGTCTTATTCTAACCTAATTGCTCTTTGATGTGAATTAAGTGTTGACTGTCATATAATAAGGCATACCCACAGAATTTTAAAAGTTCAGTTTGGTATTGGGATACAAAAAATATATTCTGGTACCCTGAAGAGGATGAGATGAAAATAGTATCATAAACTTTGTGGAGACTTAAATTACTCATTTACCTTTTAATAAAACTCAAACCTCCACTCTCCATATGGATCCTAGGCTACCCTTTGAGACAAGTTTGAGAGAAGTCCTCAACATGTTTGCAAAAGTTGGGGTGATTCTTGAAACAATGAAAATTCCATTCTCTATTCTGCAAGGAAGATTCTACTTTACAAATCTTCAGACTATTTCCAGAAATTATTTATGATTTATAATAGTCTAGTTATAGAAGCCTTGTTAATTAAAGAGAAAATCCCTTCAGAAGCGAATGTAATTTGAGAATGGTTCATTGTCACTCAATAACAAATTTCTAAAAAGTTAACCGACCCATACTTTTATGACTACTTTGTGAGACAAAGTGGTAACATCTCTCACATCTGATCTCTCCTCATTTTAGACAGGCCCTCAGACACAGAGAGCCAGGAGTACGTAAGCATCTTTATATGAAAGCCCTTTAATGTTTCAACCCCTGAAAATCCTTGACAGAACAGTGCAATGGAGGCCTACTCACCCCGTGTTTCACAGTTTTTGCAGCATGGGCAGCTTTCTTTTTGGCGTCATAATGAGTAAGAATGTCAATAATAGCCATGAAGTATACCTCTTTTCTAGCTGCATCTGTGAGGAAGGGAGTGGGGAGGGATGAGGAAATAAAATTAAACCATACCTAAGGAGATTGTTAAATAAACAAATAAAAATTGGGATAACTGAAGCAGACATATTGAATTTCAACCCACATAATCAGTCTGAACAAAAGTACCTCAAGTCTGACAACAGGGAATATTGTGCCGATATATTTTTGGGTTGGGGGATGAGTTCAAATATGATACATTTTATTAAATCTCCTAAAATCAGCTGGATTTTAGCCATTTAAAATGGCTGTAAAAGGCAGGTAGGATTTGACACTTTTTATTCTATTTATTTGATTTATATAGCTACACACATATGCGACTCTAGATGGCTTATAAGATTAAAACTTAACTTTAAATTGCAAGAAAATCTGTGTACGTTCCACCAATAAATGTATATTTGCACTGGTTTGATAGAAGACAGTTAAGATATGAATTCCTAAAAGTTTAAAATCAAATAAAATACTCCTGGCTGCAAAGTATACCAAAGTATATCAAGATAAGGGAGGAAGGAAACGAGAAAGAAAAATGTGAGAAACATTGGGGGGGGGGGTTAGGTATTTTTAGTCTGAAGAAAAGATTGAAGGATATAGGACAGCTGTCTTCATCTATCTGAAGTGCTGTCATGTAAAAGATGGAAGAATTGTTTAGAGCTTTTCCAAAAGACAGGAAAAGAAACAGTGGATTTTATTGTTAGCTGGACATCTGGAGAAATTTCCTAATGTGAAGAGATGTTCAACATGGAACAGGCTATTCAGGATGTAGGGAATATCCCTTGGCTGGAGATGCTTAAACAGAAGCTGAAGGGCCACCTTTTACAGATGCTGCAATAGCGGATTCATACATTGGGTGGATGTTATTCTAGATGACTTCAATAATCCTCTCTGCCTCCAATTTTGTAGATCTAGTATGCATTTTGAATATATAACTGAATGAATTATTAATATCATATATACTACATCTTATAGAGCTGACATAAAGAGCAATATGTATTTATGTTGTGATTTGAGTCAGTGTTCTTCTCCAAGAAAAAAATCCACTGATTTTGGAAATGACTTGCCCTTGCTTGCTTTCTAGGGCTGACAAAGAGTGGTTGGCATTGGGTTATCCTGGCTTTGTGCCTAAGGTAGGACTAAAAGTCAGTCTCCTGGTTTCTAATCTGGTGCTTTATCTATTACTCCAACTGGCTCCTAAAGAGCTATAAGTTAATGCATATATAATGGTTTCAATATTTTAAATGCTAAACACTATGGAGCCAAAATAAAAAAACCCTCATTTTTCTCCAAAAACAGTTCTTTTGTTAGTCAACTTCCTTTAAAAACATGGTTTGAAATCCTTTATTTTGTTAAATGTTATCACATTTATGAGGGCTTCAGTCTGACCCTCTGCTAAAGAAAAAGACTGAGACTGAAAGAAGTTGGAGTAAGAAGCACACAATTAAATGTTTAAACAGTATCAGACACTATAGAATGTGAAAATTGGGTATAGATATGATGTATCATACTTCTGAGTCAATTTGTAGAACCCTTTTAAATTCTACAATTAATCTGCAATCGTAATTGGAAGAAAGCTTCATCAAAATTAAATAGATTGCTTCTGAATACATATGATTTTCACAAATACATTGACAACGGAGCAAAGATTTAACAAAAAACAGAAAGATGCTATTGATTTTGCTTTAATATACAACTCCAAATGATAATGTTTACATCTATTTTCTGGTGCTTTCAGCACTTAGGTTAAATCTACTTCCAATTTTGAAATTCTATATGAACACCGATCAGGAGAGCAACACAAACCCATTTCCATTATCATAGTTTAGAGCAATTTTTTTCTATTTTTGTTTTCTAAAGAAAAGAAAATAGAAAAAAATGTTGTAAATAATAATAGAAATAGGTTTGTGTTGATCTGGAATATGGAACTGAGCTTCATTTCTGCTGAAAAGACTGAAAATTTTGGGAAATATGCCAAAGCAATGATTTGCTTTTTTTTACTACTATCCATCCACATTAATAGGTGTGGTTTATTGGACAATATCAAAAATAGTATTGTTCAGTAAATAATTTTTTAAGTAAAATAAAAGTACTTCTTCTGGGATATTAACTAAGCATTTCTTGACCTTTTCACTTCCTACAGAAAATAATTTTATTTGCCTTCAGATATGAAGGTTTATGATGGAATAACTAAATCACATTATTATAATCATGAATTATATATTTTATGTCCTTGTATTTTATTTTATTTTTTTATTGTGTTTTATATTTTTATTTTATTCTTTTATTATGGCTTGTTTGGTCAGCCAGATGTTCAGACTGGATTTAGCATTTTTGTCCATCTAGAGTCCTACTCTTGGACAGGTAGATGTGGATATTTGATGGTATTAAAGGTTATTGTCACAGAAGGTAAGCTGTTCTGTGTAAAGCTGCCTTTTGTAATTGACTGATGGTGAATTTGTCAATGCTGATGGTGTTCAAGTGGTGCTCTAGATCAGTGGTCCCCAACTTTTTTGGCACAGGAACCAGTTTCGTGGAAGACAATTTTTCCACAAACCAGTGGGGATGATTTTCATTTCACTCACTTGTCCACCGCTCACCTCCAGCTGTCTGGCCCGGTTCCTAACAGGTCATGGACTGCTACCAGTCTATAGTCCTGGGGTTGGGGACACATGCTCTTTTCAAATTGCATATAAGCTTCTTATTACTTTTGATACTATCTTTGCTTTCTTTTGCCCTAGTGATTCTACCTCTATTTGTAGATCTTTGCATTTTGTGATTTCCTTCAGTTTTCTCTTCTGCTTCATCCAGGTATTGCCCCATTCACTATCCAGACTTTTTTGTCTTTCTTACTAACAATTGTTAAGTCTGTATATTATGTGACAGGTGTCTGTTTGTTTGAATTCTAAAGTCCCAGAGCATTTTAACTGCTTTATTTTTCTGTTTATAAAGTTATTATTATTTTTTATATATTTTATTGTACTCTAATGTATTATTAATTCTGTACCCACTTGGAGAGGTACTATGATAGGTATATGTACTTGAAATATATAAATACGAAGTCAAATTGCTGTACTCCATACTTGAGACTACCCATACTTTTGTATACTGTTAACACATCATAGATTACTTAGTTTCAACCAAGTTGTGTTAATTACTAGGATGAATGAGAAACTTCATAAAGCATATTTTTGATCCATTTTTTAAAACTCAGATTTTGCACAGGAATCCTAGTGGCCTTCATGTCTAAGTATTTATAGCAAAGCCACTTACTTTCATGGCATTTTATACCATAAACATCAATGGTTGGATCAAATTCTCCTGGGGCTAAAGGCTGCAAACTGTTCAGTGTATTTCCTGGGCTATCTGGAGGTGTTCCAACTGGATGAGTCCCATCACTTTCTCCTTCCTCGTCATCATTCTCTTCACATTCTATTTCCTCTTGCTCAGCTCGTTCAACATCATGAATTCCAACCAGCAAGCTGTAATCCATGAGTTTTAATTGAGCAAGGAACTACGCAGTAATAACAAGAAAAAAAAGGAATCCATTATCAATCAGAAAATGATACCTTTACTACACCAAATGTTGGTTTCTACTAGCAGAGATTTGTTCAAGTGAAAATCAAAAAAGTGGGGTTTAATGAAAGATGCAAAAAACATTTCAAGAATGTAACAGGTAAAGTTAAAGCAGCTGGATATGATGTTCGCCCAAACCTGCAGGATTTCTGTTTCCACAATCCATATTTGGCAATGCTGAAGTCTCCTTTGCAGGTAGTCCTCAAGATATGTCCATAATGGATCTCCCCATTACAGTCCTATGTCACAATGATCGTTAGGTGAAATATCTCATCTAATGACTCCCCCATCCCTGTTTTCCCCAATGAAAAATTAAATGAATGCCTGGTCTCATTAAATAAAGAACTGGGTGCCTCAAGGGTGGGAGAGGTCATTGGAAGCCTAGCACAGGCAGACGCCCACATGCCCTGTACTCTACTACCCATCCCTTGGATCTCCACAGGTTTTTTCCCACTCATACTTGGTCAGGTGAGCTTTAGGCCTGATTCCCACTTACCTTTTGAACAGCTCTAAGGCTTTCCAGAACACTGGAATGGTTTGCTTCTTTGTGTGACCACGTGGTAGAGTTCTGGAAATGGGCACCATTTTGTCCTAGCTACAAAATGGCAGCCATGTTTGGGTCATTGCCACGCAGCCTGGGGACAAACTACTTCATTGTTGTTGCCTTAATGAGATTTACAGTGCTGCAGAAGCTTCTGCAGCACTGTACAGATCTTGTTAAGGCAGCAAAATGAAGCAGTTTGTCTGGGGACTACCATTTTGTCCCGCCCTTCGGATCACCTCTGTGCAGCCCAGGGACATGTGGCCTGCTTTTTTCCCCCAACATGAGGTCCAGAGAGCTCCAAAAGGTAAGTGTGATGGGTGATGGACATGTGAGAAACAGGCCCAAGCACTATGGAGTTATGGTTGGGTGGGATGGGGGACAGAGGCAGGGAGCACTGCAGTATCCCTGTGGTCAGTTTTAATAGTGAATGAACACAGGAGCGCTGCAACTTTTGTAACTTTGAAAGAGAGATATATGTAATTTAAGAGTCTGTTGTAACTGAACATCCGTTAAATGACCTGTCGAGAACTGCCTATATACCAAGGCCCCATGTTTCAGTTCATGTTGGTAGCAGATGCAAGTGAACAATTAAATTGGAAATGTGACAAAGACAATTATTTACTAAAGCCCTGATCTGATTTGATTCCTTCCCTTCCATATCAGCTACCTGTTAAAGTACCAGCCAGAGAAAGTCACATGAAAAATATCAGGCTTACTTGGGCCCTGAAAGTCAATCCTGAAAGAAAGACTGGAACAGTATTATATTTACCTCCTCCCCAGCTTTCTAGGAGGAATGTTGATTTACAAGCTATCTATACATTAAGGAAATGAAAGCATATTGATTAGTTAGAGAACAACAGAATGCAAACAGAAAACTAGATGAATAATCAGACAGCTCCAGAAAATGTATCTCCGCCCATAAAAAGAATGCCTCCTTCCATAAAAAGAAGCAACACTATGATTTTGATATTTATTGCTCAGACTGCAGTCCCCAGTTTTCATCACAAATTGGCAAGGCATTATAGGAACTGAAGTCTAACATATCAGGACCATACCAGACTGAGGAAAATTTCTAAAAAATAAAATATATAGTCAGTGTGAAAAATCAAATGCATTTAAACTGAAATCAATTGATGGGACAGCAATTGCGGGAGCAAAATTACTGATCTATTTAATTCTCAACAAAACAATTTTTAAAAAACATTATGAATATAGAATAAATTATGTGATGCATTTATAAACTTTATCAATGTTGAGAATCTAAACTATCTTACAGTAACTGCTTACATACAAATATAATATATCTATAGGGATTTAAAGAAATAGCAATAGCAGACTTATATACCGCTTCCCAGTGCTTTACAATCCTCTCTAAATGGTATACATACTCAGCCTATTGCCCCCAACATCTGGCTCCTCATTTTACCGACCTCAGAAGGATGGAAGGCTGAATCAACCCTGAGCCAGTGAGGATCAAACTCCTGGAGTGAGCAGTGAGTTTGCCTGCAGTACTGTATTCTAACCACTGAGCCACCATGGCTCTTGTATACTTGACTGTTGCACTAATCACCAAAAGACTAATTATAAGGCTGACGATTTTGCGGGAGCAAAATTACTGATCTATTTAATTCTCAGCAAAACAAGTTTATACACTAGATTTAAACAATGGAAAAGGCAATTTGATCCATATTTCACAGGAATATCATCAAATCTTCATAGTTCAAATTAACAACTCAATGTAAATACCAGGAATATTCAGATATTTAAGAACAGAAGAGGCAGAATTATTATTTCATAGTGATAATGTCTTAGAATGTTACACCTTTTCATAAGGGAAGTATCATTTTATATTTCAGGGAACAAATCGGCATTTAAATCAAAATGATGAATCTCAGTTTGATATCCGAAGCTTTTGTTTTTTTACCAGCTTGTTTTAAACCAACATAATAAATCCTAGACAGTGCAGACAGCAAAGGTCCTTCTGTCAGTTACGGACATGAGAGATGGTATCAATTCTGTCTTCCCTGGCTCATTGCATAATTTTTAATATTCATGAAAGCAGGCTGCCTTTTTCTAGTTTTCATTGAGCTACAATGTTGTGGCTGCTTTTAATGCACCAGAGAGAGATGCGATGTGTAGAGCAGGTCCAAAGCAATTTTCAAGAAATGCACATATTTGGAACAGGAACATATTGAAATATTTCAGTTATCAGCCATATCAGTTAGGTGGTAGAAGTGTATAAGTGTTTCTGGCAAGGATAGCGCCTTTGTCTAGAATTCTTACCTCAACATCCTTTTTAAGCTTTTCAAGGAACATCTTTTTGTTGGCTTCATTAATGTAAATTTTTTGACCATCATTAATGAAGTCATTGTCTTTAAATGTTGGCAGTTCTTTGGCCTAAGACAGACAAATAAACAAAAGTCATTTCAAAACAATGAAGGCAATAGAATAACGAAATGTCAATTGTCTGAGCAGAGCATAACTCATCAAGCACAGCCATCAAAATACAAAATAACAGCCACCAGGGGGCATTACAGAGCTACAGCACCAGAATATAGTGAACCATTTCTAACAAATGGATAAATACAATACATTAGCATTTTATTTTCTCTTTTCATTAAGACAGCCCTTGTTTGTTTTCATATGCTTATATTACTAAGCCACAAGACATTCTGATTTATAAAATCAATGTTTGATACATTTCATTATTCATTAATTAAAAAATAGTTGATAGTGTAACAACAAAATCTGTTTTACATGGAAGGAACTAAATACATCACTGCAAATAACATCCTGCAAATAACAAACCAAGCAATCCTGTACAGAGGCTCTGCTAAAATCTGTGCTATCAGAAGTTCAGAAAGAGATCTGAGGCTTAAGTTCTCCCCAATTTACCATGATAAGAAGATGCAACAACACCGTTCGTGAAAGATTCAAAGTGATGAGTTGTTAAACTGATTTTATGCCTTGCTTAAGGATCATAAAATATTATAAAACCTAAGGAGGATAATATTACTTTATAATTATTCATAAAATAATTATATTATTTTCTTGTACATAATTTTGTGAAAGAAACCCCAAACTGTCCCTTAGGCAAAGAAAACAAAGAAATAAGAGTGATGTAATTATGAATCAAAACATTAAGGGAATAATGTGAACATTTTTTGATAAGTGACCATAAAAATATTTGTTTTTCAATTACTTCTTATGACAACTTATCAAAAGATAGCTACAATGCTAAATCCAACCTGACCAAAGCATTGATTATGAAGAATCTGAGACTAGCAAAAGGCTATTGTCATTAAAACTTTAATCTGAATTTTTACTCTAAAAAAAACCTTGGACTTGATGGCCTAACTGCTTTTTCTAATTCTACAATTGCATTAAAGTATTTTAACATAAACTGGTATATATTTCATGCAATACAAGAAGCAAAGGTGTAGGGGAAGAAGCTGTGGAAATATATCCTCTAAGTAAGAGCTAATATTTGGTACAACAGAAAAGGTAAAAGACCTACAACATAGCAGTATGTTAGAGCACAAATTCCTCACTAGCAAGACATTCAATAATCAGCCATAAATAACTATACACTATAATTACAGTCATCTATGATACACTATAGAACTCCTAGGAGAGACAGGGAACCACAAAATGCTCCAATTACTCACATGTAATCTATATATATCACTGTAGAAATTAAGCAAAATAAAAGATTTGGCTGTCAGAATCTGATGACTTTGGAAGCCTATCACTCTTCCCTAAGCCAAAAATAGGTATGTATATAAATATAATTTTGATAAAGTCAATTTTATTACTATCAAAACTGTCACAATGTAAAGAAAACCCTCATGATGTTCAAAAGTAACTCAGATGGTAATGATTTCCTACAACCATTTGCACGATAGTCTGGATAGCCTCATGATAGGAAATTGACTTTGGTTTCTATTTTAACAAGCAGGTGATCACTTTTGGATTCAGTTTAACTGGTTCTTCCACAATACTCAGCTCAGCCTTCTCCAATGTTGTATAGTATTAGAACTACAATCCAGGTTATGTTAGATGAGAACTCAAAAAAATTGTGATCCAAATACATCTGGAGGCATTCAGATTGGAGACGATTACTCTAGGACAGTATAAATGAAGAATTCATAAGTCAATTAGCTTTAGAATCTTGACAAACATTACTGTAAAAATGGGACTTCTCCACATTAAATTGCAATGTGTTTATTTTAATTTACAGTTTCTGAATTCTAATACTTCTGCCAAAACAACTGAGGCATTTCAGATCTATAAATAGTTTTAAATAAATTTTCCCATTCTCAACATTATCAAGACTGTTTTAATTGATAATAGTTAGCATAATTTATTTATACTTCGTCTTCAGCAGGTTTCTAAGGCAGCTTAGAAAAAAATTAAATTTATAGTCTAATGAAATATGTAAGATTTGGTTAAAGTAAAGTTATTCTGGATGCAATCTGCCCCAAAAAGAAGTGAATACACGAAAGATGTTTGGCAAAAAAAAAAGGGGGGGCTAAAGTGAGAATTAAGAAATTAGATGATGGGATTTACCAGGGGGAAAATTTAAAAATTCAAATATCTGTTTGAATATGGTTAAAGAAATAGAAAGATTTTAGATGTAAATGAAGATTAGTTTAAGAGGGAGGAACCCCTCAAGTAACACAGTATTTTTTCTTTCTTTTTTCCTTTGTGTTTTTTTTGACATGAGAAATATAAAAATGTTGGGATGGTTTATATCAGCGGTTCTCAACCTATGGGTCGCAACCCCATTTGGGGTCGATCGACCATTTTTCGGGGGTCGCCAAAGGCGGTGATCCGCCATTTTCTTCCCTCCGGGGGCGCCACTGCGCATGCGTGCTGCGCATGGGGCAGCAGCGCGCCTCCGGGGCCACCGCCGCGCATGCACGCCATGCATGGGGTGCCGCCACGCATGCGCATAACGTTTGTGTGACGGGGGTCGCCGTCACACAAACGTTGAGAACCGCTGGTTTATATAAAAGAAATGTTTTCTGTTTTTTTTTTCTTTTTTGAAGATATTATAAATGTAAAAGTGTTGGGATGGCTTGTATGAGAAAAAAGACTGAAATACTTAAGTATAACTAATTCTGAGAAAATCTTAACCAGTAAGAATGCTTTGAATACTGTGGGGAAAACAAATTTAAATAAGAATTCTGTAAACAGGATCTATGATGAGGAAATTAGAAAAGAAGCTTTATGTTGATGTGGTTATTATTTACAGAAACGTAAGAAAAATGTCTATATTTAATTATCATTTATTCAAATAATAAGAACTGCCATTAATTTAAGGTTGGCAAAAGAGAGTATTATTGGAAGAGAAAATCAAGCAAAGCCATTATACGGACTATAGAATTATAGAAATTAATTGTTATTGATTGTTTTTTAAATACTAACCCAGACAACACTCCGTTTACCAAATACTTAGGTGATTATGTTAAAAATAAATAAAACATTTTTTTTTTAAAAAAAAGAAGTGAAGCCTCACATGGGTTTGGTTTTAATTTGAGATCAGTGTGTCTTATGCTGGTTAAGTAGATGTAGAATTGCACCTAAGAAGGTTGCGAAGAATAATACTCCACAACTAACATAAATTTGCCCTTTCTTACAACTTGAAGGCAGATGACTAAGTATATAAATATAATGTTGCCACACCTTTTCTTTGTCACTAGCTTCTCTTGCTACTGTTGAGCCCTGGAAGAAAAACACAGCACATTTTGTCACTAGAACAATACTGAACACTTATAGAAATGTTTTCCCCATCAGTCTACCAGAACACATTATAATTCCTCAAACTGACTATACTGTATTATGAACAAATATAAAATTCAAACAGACTGCATTAACATATATAATAACAAAATAAAATTCTCTTTATGGAGATTTGGATTTTCTTGGACCTATTACTATTTTCTTCTATTTATTCTAAGCATCTGGAGTCCATTAGCTACTAGCATGTCAGCCATAACCATTCCTCAACAGAGGAGGAAGTGTTTCCTAGTTAACAATGCTCTGGTAAACGTCACACATAATTATTATAAACTATTATATGCATTAACCTGCTTCTGTAGATCCCTCTTAAATTTCAGTCTGTTCAAACATGAGAATTTTAGTGATTTTCCTTATACCTCTGGAGGGAATTTAAAGTATTGGTATTAATAAAGCAGTTGTCACCTTGTTTTATAATGTGTGCACAGCCGTGTGCATTGTGTAAGCATGTATTTACCCACCAACTATCTCACTGGATAACTCTGAACTGTAACTGAATTTCAAAATGCTATATAGTGTGTATTAATATATATATATATATATTATTATAAAATGAAACCAAAATGTTAGAGATTAATTAACTAGTCAAATATGTGTCAAACACTTTAAAATATTGATATGTTTAGAGGATAGTGAAATTTAATATTTTATGCTAATTAAAAATAAAGAATTATAACAGTGAAAATTAAAATGATAACACATTTACCAAAAGTTATAGTATTATATTTTATTCTTATAGCAGCTACCAAAAGCAAATGTAGAGTGGCAAAAACTTCTGGGGGCCAACTAGGTCTCATTTAATATTGTCACAAGTAACATCAAATAAAGTTCAGAAGATAAACTGCCATTTTCCCGCTAGCATTTTTGGAGTACAGGTAGTCCTTAGTTAATGACAGCAATTAGGTTGAGAACTTCCACTACTAAGTAATGCAGTCATAAAGCATGATGTCAAGCCCTTCCAAAGAACCCTGAGGCATATTGGAGAATGGCATACTCTGTCTTTGGAAGAGGGCCTAGTGCGCTCAGCCATTGTCTTGCCTTGGGCAGATTGGGTGTGCCTTGTCAGCAGTGTGAGGAAGATGATGAAAGAAGATGGGTGTGGCAGAGGCTTTGTACTATAGCTGGCCATGGCTTAGTCCCATGGGGATCGAGAGAGAACACTCCTCAGTGATGGTGGCAGTCCTGGCAGTGCCAGGGCTAAAGTGGAAGCCCAAGGTGTCAGCTGTCAGCTCATGCTGCTAAAGGCCCAGGTTTCTACTTCAGTCCCACTACTGCCAGAGCAGCCAAAAGGGTGGAGATGGGAGGGAGATTGGCAGATGGTGCTCCACTAGTCCTAAGTGCCAACTAACTACCAAGCACCTGAATTTTGATTATGTGATTGCAGAGTCTCTGCAATGGATGTAACTTTGGAGATGGGCCTAAGTATCATTTGTTCAGTGCAGCCATAACTTCAAAGAGTTTCTGAATGAACGGTCATTCATCGAGGGCTGACTGTGGTCAAATAATCAAGAGCATGAGGGTTTGCATAAAAGATGCAGGTATGGGAAGAAGAGAGTGTGGGGACTGAGGTGGCACACGTTGGAAAAAGCGAGCAAGGGTGTGAAAGTAGTTGGCCTGGCATAAGTGGAAAAGGGCTGGAGAAGTTGTGTGGGTGGGGGACACTTAACCCTTCCCTCCTGGCTTCCCCACTGACATTCTGGGGAAGTAATAGGGAGAGTTATAAAGAGTGATCATATGATCGCAGGGATTACAATTGGTTGTAAGTGTAAGAGCAAACCATTTGTCAAGCACCTAGACAGCAATCATGTGACCATGGAGGTGCTAGGACAGCAGGAACTCTTGAGGAATGATCATAATCAACATTTGTTTAGTGCCATTGTAACTTTGAATGGTTGCTGTATAAATGGTTATAGGATAAGGACTACTCATGTATCCTAGGAAGTTTATAGCAAACTTTCACTAGTAAATTCTAGGATGCATATAATGAAATGGCTTTGATTTCCACCTGAATAACATTTATAGGTCCAGGAGATAAGATATTTATGTTTCTTAAAATTATTATTCATTCATGGTTGATGGAAGGATAGAAATTCTACTGAAGTGGAATCCAAGAATGTGAAATAAACATGATATCGACTTTTTGAACACCCAGGTAAATTGTTAATTATTATATTTTTTAAAAGAATGTAGATCAATAAAACATAGATAATTTACATTCTAGAGACTGAGCTATCACATTCTACAGTTATATCAGTTTCTTTTAGAAAATTTTAAAAAGTTATATGGGAAAACAGAATATTTTCTTTTGCTAATACAGGATGCATCAACTGTTTAAAATAAAGTACTGTGAAGGCTACTTGACAGAAGTAAATCAATCTCATGTATAAGATTTTTTTCTGAGCCACTTCACTTTCTAACCCTTATCCACAGGATATGGTAAACTAATTTGAACAAATCAGACTTCAAACAACAACTGCATAATCACCTCTTTATCCACTCAGAAGAATAAGATCAATGAGGCTTACTTCCAGGTAAGTGGATATAAGACTGCCATTTAAAATATATTTGATAGAGGTAACAAAAATAGAAATGGCTTAGTATGGCTTTTTAGTCATTTGCTAAAATAGTTTTAAATATTAAATACTGCTTTAATCTATTGTAGTACTTCTATTAATTACCCAAAAATATCTGTGTGCAAAACACAGCTGCCTACAAAGTGCATTAAGAATGAAATAGCCTCTTCAGCTCGTTTTTTTAACCTCTCAAATGGCTTTGACTGAAAGCATTAGCACTTAGCTACTTCAGCTAGCATTTCTCTGTCTAGTCACTTACTTTACAACACACATTATGTTATTTTCATAAAAGGTTTTGTTGGATAAGCCGCAAATGTTATTTTAATAAACACAGCTCAAAAAAGATCATTTGTTGAAATATTTTAATGCACTGTATTACTAGCTTTAAAGTATCTGATAGAATTTTCTTTCCTTCCTTCCTTCCTTCCTTCCTTCCTTCCTTCCTTCCTTCCTTCCTTCCTTCCTTCCTTCCTTCCTTCCTTCCTTCCTTCCTTTCCTTCCCTATTAGCAGAACTATTAACAGAATTATTGTAATTCCCATAGGAAAAAAAGTACTCACCTTTAAATCATATTTTCTATAAACGGATAAACGATGGCTGAATACATTTCTTGTAACAATCATGTACACTTCGATTCCATCAACAGTAAGCCGGTACATGCCCAAAAATTGTGGAAGTAGAGTGTTGCCATGGCATTCCACTATAAACTACAATGATATTTTTTTTAAAAAAGAAATATTAGATGTTATTATATATTTTAGAATTTTTCTTATATAGATATCAAACCAGAAAAGTAAATCACTATGAAAAATTGCATTATCAAGAAATAGTTAGAATAAGAGTTTTTGAAGTGTCTACATTCTTTAATTACGGATGGCATTTGCACAATGAAGATTGTACAGAATGAAACGTTCAATAAGACTGTGACAAGTGAACATGCAAAATCTTCAATTTTATTTGAAGGTGTTTGATTTCCATAAACATTTGAAATCCATATAACCTACCAATCCCCTTCTCTACTAGTTCTCACTTCAAATCTGTACCTCATGATTAAACAGCTCATTTGCAGCAGGTAGAAACTATTTACTTTCACTTCTAAGGTTTCACCACCTCACAAAAAAGGTGGTCCTCCTTGGAGCCTGCCACCTGCAGATACAGATGGGAGCTATCAAAATAGATATAATTCCCTGTTCAACTAGGAAAGACAGCATTTATTGTATTAATTTGATATATTTATATCTCCTCTTCCAAAAGCTCAAGGCAAACTATACTTCTTTTTTCAGTTTTTTACACAACCACATCCTTGTAAGGAAAGTTGAGCTAAGACTGAGTTTCCCCAAATCTTCTCAGGTTCTAGTTCAACACCTTAACTACTGTATAACATTGGCTCTCAATGTACACAATGGATGAAAAACTACTTGGTTGTGTTTTCACCCTAAAAGAAGATAGATGATGCCCTAAAGATTTAATCTAAATATGTTTAAGATATCTTTTTTTTCTTATAATGGAAGGAAAGAATATCAAAACCAAAAGATACTAGCTGCAAAGCATCCTCCGTTGTGTTCATCAACAGCACAGTACCATACCTCATAGCATTGCTGGAGAAGGGGAACATCCTGATGCTACAAGGATTATCCTGTTATTATGGATACTCAATAGGGACCTCAACTTTTCATATACATTTATATAAAATAAAAATGCATACTTTTAGCTGTGCAGCAAATGTAGTGCTATAGAAACATACATAGTATATTTGAATAGTTGATATTGTTTTTCTGCTATTCAGGATTAGTTTCCCAAAAATTTATAAAGCTAATATTTTATTTTTCAGGAGAACATATTTTTAAAATAAAATTACTAAAGTGCAGAAGAAAAACACCTAGTTTTAAAAGTTTTATAAGTTCTGCATTAAGTATAAAATGTGGACATTATATGAATTGATTTTTTTTAACAATTCATTGTAAATGCAATGTAGGCAATCACAATTTTAAATCACTGACTTCAATTCAGGAAAATCACAAAATATGAATGCAACCCTAAGGAGGAATAAGCTTCAGAAGGTATACTGTAGAAAAAATTAAAGTATTCAAACATAATGTTTGATGTAATATTTTAAGTAAGGTTTGTCAGGTGCAAGGACCAAAACAGTTTATTTATTGTTGATCACCTATTTACAAGAATCTGACCTGGCTGATTGCATTCCCTTTGGAAGTGGCAGATAAAGGCATCAATAGTCCGGCCTCTTTCATTTCTTCCCACAGAGTAACTCCATGTCGGAATGACTTTTTACTGCCCTCTCCCCTTTAGCCTGTGATTCCACCACATCTTAGAGCTCACATAAAACTACATTGCTGCTTATAAATTGTGGCTTTTATTTCATAAGCATGACAATGACGCCAAATAAACTTGGCCTAATGACATTTTCTGTGGTTTGTAAATGCATTATAAACATATCTATCTATTAGTAATAAAATACATATGCACATTTCAATTCAGTAGATTAATTTATTCTCCTGATTATCTCATAAGACTAAGACTAGTAGGCAAGGCCATTTAAACACCAATTCTTCCTTCTTGTATTGCATGTAGTAGCAATGATTAAGTAGAGAATAATTTTTTCTATTATACCCAAATGAAGCTTCCATTTTATATTTTTATTCAGCAGTAAGAATCTAAGACAACTGAACTTTAGAACTAAATTAATATAACAACTTTTAAATCAGACATTTTAAAGATTAGAATATATTTCACATTTTTAATATCCAGCCTTTTTTCTAACCAAGGCTACAGTTTGAACTTATTGAAATATTAAATTCTCAACTGTGAAACCACTGTGTACTATTTCATCAATACTTTGAACAGGGAACATAAAATGAGATTTATTAAAATATGAACTGAGAATCAACTGGAATTGGGGCTAATTAAACTAAAGTTAAGTTGCAAGCATAGTTAGAATACTGCTTACTTTAATTCATCTTATCAAATATATCAATTATAATACAATTCTGGGGGCCATTTCTTATTTGTAATATGTTTTTTGTGGGAAAAAACTTATTAGTTTATTATGGAAGCTTGACTTATTTATTTATTCTGTATTGATACACATCTCTCAGTTGTGTCATCTTCTGATTAATTTTGATTTCTTTAGATATGATTGCAATTATTTTACTTAGAAAACATGTAATCTATTCCATTATTCAGAAAATAGCATACATTACTATCACTAGTGGAGGATTCTGTGGTCTAAAGAAAAATAAACTTGATGTTGCTGCTGAAAATGGTGATTTTTGCTAAATTGATTACTTTAGTCAAAGTATCCCTATTATGTTGACTGTGAAAGAGTAAAAAAACACAAGACATTCTAGTAAGATTAGCTGAGTTAATATTATTAGCTGTGGTAACACCAGTACGTGCTATTGCTGCTAGACAAAAAGGCTCTTTTCTTTCACTGTACAGTTTAATTAGATCATTTTCTAATTTGTGAAAACCTTTTTTGCAAAAAGGTAAACTATCAACTATGAAGATGTTTAAAGGTGCTATTATTCATAGGTTGAATCATTTTGGTCCCATCATAGGATAAATTAAAATAAACATGCAATTTTATTATCTAGACCGGGGGTCCCCTTACCTATAGGCTGTGGCCCACTACAGGGTCGTGATCTATTCAAAACCAGGCCACAGGAAAAATTGGAAAGCGCATGTGCATGAAGCTCCACTAGCATGAGCGGAGGGCACTTGCATGAGTGGAGCTTTATGAGTGAGCACAAGCACACTCCACTCAAACACCCTCCATTCATGTGAGTGGAGCTTTGCGCGTTCACACAAGCACCCTCCGTTCACATGCAATTGGAAAGTGCACATTTGAGTGAGTCACTCACACAAAGGAAGCTGTACCTGTATGTGTGCACTTGTTACTCACAAGCCCCTGAGATATAATGCCCATTTCCTAAGGCATTATACAAAAAATTAATCAATGAAGTGTAATTACAACCATCTCATTCTCAAAGCAAATAATGAATTACCTGGTGGTATTTCTTCAGTATATTGTGCATTTCTGCTACATCTTCACTTGTTATAGTTTTGATGACATATCTTTTGTCGTAAGAGCTGTGGAATCGGGCACCACTCCGAGCTGCAGAATCATTAGCAAGTGGACAACTTCTTGTCAAAGAATTCTGCCATATTAATTAAAGATAGTGTCAGAAGTAGAAATTAATGTAATTAACTGATAAAATGTCTAACTGGACTTGCTATACTCAAACATACTTGAATTATATCAGAAACATCTTGCAAAAGGATCATAGTTGAAAATCAATTAATACTGTTGTGACATTTGTAAATAGAGTTATGATGCTTCTAAAGAAAACAGAGTAATAAACAGTACAAAAAACAGAAGAAAAACCTTTCATTAACTGTAACTTGAGGGTGTTCTGGCTGCTGAGAAAGTAAGCTCTCAGTAGAACAGAGCTTAGAAAGGGAAGGAAAGTTTCCAAAGCATATTTAGAACTCTGTCTCATGTTTTGATACTTCTGCAGTTTCATTTTGATATTTTGAAGAAGGAATACCTTGGAGGCAATCTACTTTGACCATGTAATAAAGGACTGCACACTGAAACAAATAGTTCAAGAGAGAATATATTGGTGAATATACATAATGTACTCAATATATACCATTCATTTTAGTCAAATTTAGTTTAAATTGACTGAGCTTTGTCTTGATCTTCATGCTTAAAAGTTAGGGAAGAAAAGCAGTTTGCATTTGCAATTGGAATTAAAATCAACCTTTATTTTCTAAATTCTCTTTCAAATTCGCATCACATATACAATTTAATACAAAGAATTAATACTATGTGAGAAAAAAATAGGAATACACTGAAACATGCTAGCCTGCCATCCAGCCCACAAACTGCTAATAATAGTTACAAGTCTTTTCCTCCTCATACATAATACAAACTGAAATTTAACATTTATTCTTCTATAAACAGAAAAATTGATAGATGAGCAAATGCATAGGCTTTCTGTAAGACAAAATATAAATATAATATAGTTCTAGACACTTACATTGCTTGATTAAAGTGCCCCTGAAATGTGCTTATCTCAGTTCTCATCTTAGTGTATTCTGAAAATTAGTATTAAATTGGCAGCAAACTGCATTAAAATATACATACATACATACATCTCCAAGATACAATGCCATTTTGAAGGAACAAGCATGCAAAAAAGCTTCCTTGCATCACAACGTGGAGCCAAGAATGTCAGTTCAGGTTTTTGAGCAGAATATAAAATGAGGGTCATTTCATTAAAACTGCTATCTTCATTAAAGATATGTTAGCTTACATTTGGGTAAATTCAGAATGGCATAGCTGGGTAAAGCTACAGAAAAATGTATCATAGAAAATGAATTATAAAAAAAATTCTTTAGAAACACATGTATAATATATTTTCCACATTAGCAGAATCTTAAATAGAAGGCCCATTTAGTAAAAACTCAGTAGCAGAATAAAAATTTAGGTAATCTTTTTAAGGTAGAGGCATATTTGGGATTTTAAGAACATGTCACAAAAATTCTCACAAAATTCCAATGAGTTTGTTCTTCACTCTTTAAAACTTATAAAGTATTCTATTCTATTCTATAGTAATACTATTTTTTATTCCAGGGATCTGGGCATACTTTCAAACAATTCCGGACCCTGGCCACTCACTAATTTTATTTTCTAAAAATGTCCATGGGCTTATGTAAGGTCCAAAGGTTTATTTATGTTGTAAATAACCATGATGCAATTTGCTTTGCAGCTTGTCCACTTCTTCCATTTCTTTTTTAAAAATAAAAAAAATCTAACAACGAATGATGTCTGATAGGAAGGTAAATCCTGTGGTTGCCAAGACGGTATTTGTATCAGATCTGATGGGAATTATATTGATCTAAAACCCAAAACATCTTGGCTTCTCACATCTATTGCCATATCAACCTTTTTGAACATTAAGATAATATGCCAGATTCCAATTTATTTTCAACAGCAAAGGCAAAATAACTTGACTTTGGATTTTTTGCTAATCCTGTTATATTCTTTCTTGGAGTTCTAAAGGCATTAAGCAATGTCCTGCACAACCTCTGGGCTCTAAGTTCTATGATCTAATGTTTTTGTATTTAATTTTTGAGATTTAATGCAGCTTTTAAAAATATTTTACTAGTTTTTATATAAATTGATCTGGACTTTTTAAATCTGGAATCATTCTACATTTCATGTATCTACAACATTTTTATATACAATAACTTCCCAAAGCTCAGTGTAGCTATTGTTGATCTATTCTGGAACTGAAGAAGATGAGCAGATGTATGGCATCACTATTTTAAATAAAACGGAGATGGGGTGCTGATCCAATTCCAGGATCCAGCTCAGAAGGCCAGAATATCATAGAAAGGAATTTTGGGAGGCTTTTTCCCTCCTTGAAGCAGCAGTTTTTCTATCTATAGCTGCTTTCTTGTTTCCTCTGGCTATTGTACAGAAGAGCAGTTTTCTTTTACTCCTTTCCTCATTTCGTATGAAAAACAGAACTGAATTAGAACTGTGAATTAAATTAGGAAAATTCAGCTGCAGCCAAAATTGCATTCTTGATAACATTTCAATTTTTAGGTCTTTCAAAAAACAACAACAGGAAACCACTTTTTTGTCTAAAAGTCCATATTTCTGCCACAAAAATAATAGAAGTACTAAACAACATCAGCAAAAGAATATGTTATTAAATCATGTTCATCAAAGTGTGATCATATCAACATTAACCATTAACTCTAATCCAACAGCCTACAACCTTTCCAGCTTGGTGGCAAGCTTGGCGCATAGTTTCATTTTTGTGCACAGTGCACACATACACCCTCTTGTGCAAATGGAGCTTTGTGCGCAACTGGAGGGTGCTTGCACTCATGCCCAAAGCTCCACTTGCACGAGCGGAAGGTACTTGAGTGGAGTGAGCTTGGGCTCATGCATGTAGCTGCACTTGCACGAGTGGAGGGTGCTCCCATGTGAAGTTCCAATTGTGCAAATGGAGCCTTGTGTGCAAGTGCAAGCATCCTCCGCTTGTGCAAGTGGAGCTTCATGCACCTGCTCTTGCCTGTTTCTCCCGTGGCCTGGTTTCAAATAGGTCGCGACCCAGTAGTGGGCCCCAGCCTGGAGGTTGGGGACCCTGCTCTAATTAAAGAGTATCTGCGACATAGATAAATCACTTTGGGTAAAATAATATTTAATATGTTAGCTGATTATCCTGAACTGAAATAAGCAGTATTTTATCTTGAGAATTCTAACCAGTTTTTAATCAGGAGTTTATTATTTTTGCTAATATATTTGAATAGTTGAGTTTTGTAGTCTATCTTTAAAGTAGTAAGATATTTTGTCTCCAATTAATCTATTCAAAAATTTATTGTCTGATGCTGATATCTTTTTACATTAATATGCCCTATTTTATTTAGCATAGAATCACTGTTCAACCATAGTCTTTCAGATCTGCTTTCTCCCACCTGCATATTATTGGCTGGGGTTGCTGGGAATTGCTGTCAGACCCATATGACAATCTCCACATTGGAAAAATACTATTTTAGTTAACACATAAATAGATACACATGATTTGAAGTCCATCTATCAATAAACAGTTGCTACATCAGCTGTCAAAAGGAGTCACTCAGAGTTTCTCTTCACCTTGTGAGATAACATTCTATTAAATAGGGAAAAACATTCTGCATTAAGCAATTTCAAACTGAAAGACAAAAATGTGTGCAAAATTCATTTTTATTTTTATATATAATTGTTTCTGCTGCAGAGTACTTCTGTATAGATTTTGACATTTAGAGTCAACAAATGTCATCTTTAGTAACTTCTAAGACTTATTAAATATATTATGAACCTCGAGACTTAGATATCTGAATGACATACTTGATTTAAATGTCTCATTGTGGCAAAAATCTGAAGGCCACTCACTTTGCCTGACTCCTCAAGAGTTTTCTTGCAAGTCTGAAAATCCAGAATAGACATAATAGATGTTCACTGCTAGTTAAACTTCAGTTTTTGCAGATAAATAAAAAGTGCCTTTATTTTTTTGATAAAATCCTCAAGTATTTGGTACGTGAGTGCCACTGGTTACTTGACTGGAATATAGTTCAAGATGACTGGGATTTTAGGCGTGTAAAAATAAAAGATGCAATTAAAAGGAAATGCATGAATAGACTTTGAGACATTCTGTCATGGTACCCAAGACTGATAAATTATTTTGGCACTTCAGAAATCTCCACAGGCAATATTCCCTCGGTATAAAAATATAAATTAAAAAATTAACTAATGATTTGCTACTCTTCTGAGACATTCCAAACCAGCTGGCTAAGGAGCTGTCTCATATAGTCAAAGGCATATGGATTTTTCACTAGAACAGGACAAATCAGAATTTGGCATCAGGTTTGCTAAGCCTTGCAGTACATGGGATGAGGCTTATTACAATTAACATTTCTGTAAGTTCTGTAGGAAAATCAGCCAGTGCCTTCCACTACTACATAGAATATATTTGCTAAGAAATAGGATTACGGTAACAAGAAGGAAAGTATTTTGCCCCATTTCAGGAAGTTTATCAGAAGCCAAAGTAAAAATCTGTTACTACAGTAAATTCTGGGATACTTATTCTTGAATAGAAAGAGTTTAAGAATTATTGTTTGCAAAATTTCTCAAGTTAGGAAGCCATCACACAATTGCACATTGGTTTGGTTATATTGTAAAAGTAAACAGAGTTGTTCCAAAGGAACTGTTTCTTAATCTTAATGATAAAAAGTTTATTCTGATAAAAAAAATCATTAGGAAGGAAGTTTAATTTACTGATATATTTTAAATGATGTTGTACAGCGAACTTGGAAATGAACCTGGGTCCTATGCTCCAAACAGTTCCTACTTGTCTTTTAATGAGTTTGGCTCCAGGCTACTTTATAGCATTTATAGATTTCCATTACATTTCTTTCCTTTCTGTGAGATGATATAGTTTTTATTTCTGCACTGGAATAAGACTTTTTGAAATATTATATACAAACATAATAGAGTTCCTTCAATATTAATATAATGGTGTGATAGTTAAACTGGTGGAGATCCAGGGTCAAGTCTAGTTTCAACCATGGACTCCTTGGGTGACCTTGGAACCTAAACTCA